TCAGCTCCTTCCTCAGCTCCGGGGCCAGCCACAGACCCACTGCCCCACACCCAGGCCCTTCCTCAGCTCCTTCCTCAGCTCCGGGGCCAGCCACACGCCCACTGCCCCACACCCAGGCCCTCCACAGTCTGCCTCCACAGAGCTCCGGGGGTTCTAGCACAGAGAACCCCCTCCCCCACACCTAGGGCCCTTCCACAGCCGTGTTCCTCATGGAGCCCCAGGGGCTCTGCCACTTCCCCGCTCCTCCACATCCTGAGTCTCCGGACCATGTTCTCAGTCCCTGACCTTCCCCAAGGGTCCCCCTGGGACTCTGACCTGAGCACACCATCTCCTGAAAGAAGCCTGTTACTCACCCAAGACGGAGAGCTTAGTCCCGCTGCCGAAAAACAGTTTTTCGTTAGTTGCACAATGTTAAAGCCTGGCAGAGAAACATGGCCTGCCACTTCCCGTTCCCTCCGACCCCAGGTCAGCCAGCTGGCCTCCTCTGGCCTCAGCAGACACTTGATTCTGGGGCTGGGAGGGTAGGCAGCTGTGTGGCCCGCAGTGCAGTGGTCAGAGGCCCGATTCAGGCCATGGGACCCCTCCCCACGTGTCTATCACTCTGGGTGGACCGTGGCCTCCAAGGCCAGGCCTTCCCATCCACCTTGCTCTGATGCCCTCAGGAGACGGAAAGGTGGCCCTGCCTGCTTGAGACCACCGGCTTCCCAATGGGGAACCCAGGCTCAGCAGGGTCATCCACAAAATTACTGGGGATCGATCTCCCTGCCCTGTCTGCATCAAAACAAGAATTCAGACTTTCCTGATAAAAATGCATTTTTGCCAAAGCACCGAGATGGGCCCCACTGATCCCTGCTGTCTCTTGGGGGTTCCTGGCCCCCTAGCCCAGGTTCACTCACCGATGACACTGAGCCGGGTCCCATCCCCAAAATACAGGGTGTTTCCAGAGCACAGTCTCCGAGGTCCACTTCAAAACCCCACCGTCAGCTGAGCCCCAGGGTGCAGCTGGGCTCAGGGGCACAGGGAGGCCCTCACAGGTCTCCCCATGAGGAAGCCACCCCGGTTTCAGACACCTGCACACCCTCCAGAGCCACCCAGGGTCCGGACAGCTGGGGAGGGGGAAGCAGGTGACCTCGGTGGGGTGCGGCACCAGAAGGAGAGCCTGTGTCAGCGGGGGACGGTCAATGGGGTCTTCTCAGGCTCATTTAAGCTTTGGGGCCTCCTCTAGGCTCCCCCCCCAACTCAGGGCAGCACCATCTCCTCCCCCATCTCTCCCTGGCCCCAGGGCTCAGCTGGGGGTCTGCTCAGAGCCCTCTCGCTGGGTTCTCCCTTATAGAGCCTTCCCCGAGTCCCTTCCCCATGTCCTTGAAGGGCCAGGCCTCCCTCACCATGCCTCCCCCAGACCTACCTACAACCGTCAGCTTGGACCCCGGGCCGAAGGTGAGATCATAGTTAACACACCAGAACAAAGCCACTCTGAAATGGACCCTGGGGGGGCCTAGGAGCTGCTCAGGAGTCTTACCTACGACTGTTAGTCGCGTACCCTCTCCAAACTCCGGTAGGGTGTTTGCACAGTGCCGGAAGGAGAGGAGGAAAGCAGAGATGAGGTGTGGAGCAGGTGGGGGACAGCAGTGTCTCAGACGATGGGAAACCCCTCCTGGGCATGTAGGCCTTGGGCTTGTCCAAGAAAGAGCGGTTTCCAAGGAAGGGCATTGCCAGCTCCCGACTTCCAACCAAGGGCCCCGTGCCCCGTTCTGAAAGGGTGTCTGCACAGAGGCTCCTCTCTGAGGGTCATCGAGGGATGTAGCCTGGACAAGTGGCCTGCAGAGGGACAGGTCCCCTGGGACCTGTGACTCCATCCATCAGGATTCGAGCGCTCTGGCTTCTGCCCGAGGCCTTTGGTACAAGTGGCCACACTCCGTGCCCCTTCCCACTGACCTGCAGCAGCCCCAGTGGGGCAGCGGTGGAGGGATCACTGTGCCCTTCTCCCACTCCCCTTAGGGCTGTGTTCTATCTTCCCTGACCCAGGCCTGGGCCTGAGCTGTGGACAGCTGAGGTGGTGGCGTTCTGCACCAGCCGCCCTAGCGCTGAGTTCTGGGAGAGAGCTGGCTGGGGGGCTGGGGGAAAGGCAGAGTGGTTTTTGTAAAGGCCTCCCGTAGGGTTGAATCACCGTGGCTCCCCTGTCCCCACAATGCTTCAGCTTTGTACAAAAACGGCCCCTCCCACCGACCCCGCCCCGCAAAACCAGGAGGAGCTGCCAGCCTGCTGCTGCTTTGAGCGGAGTCAGGGTGGGCGGGAGAGGCGGAGGTGGGGTGTGGGCGCCTCCTGATTTGGTGTCCTCAGCTCCTGAGAGCTGGGTGTCTCTGCAGTGCTGGCTGCTGAGGGGCTGGCTTTTCTAGTGGTAGCCCCCCCGCAGCTGTCCTCACATGGGGAGCCGCCTATCAACAAGCCCCCCCTTTCTACCTCAGTCCTGCCCCGGGAGCTGCAGGGAGGACGGCAGGGGTTCGGGCCACGCCCACCTTTCACCGAGCAGGACCCCTCCTACCCAGAACCTGCGCCTCCAGGTGCTCTCTGGGGTCTGAGTTCTCTGCGGAAGTGACCACGAGCTGGGCGAGCTTGGCCTGTCTAGCAGTGGGAGTGTTTCAGGGGTGCGGGTGCGGGCGGCGCAGACCCTTCGCTGAGGCCTCAGTCGGTCATGGGGGCGGGCGGAGAGCTGCCATCCGACTTCCCTGAAGGGCAGAAGCACTTCCAGTTCTAGGATGTTTAATTTCCCTCCACAGGATGACCTTGAAACTCGGTGAAGCGTCCCTGACGCCATCTCACCAGGGGACACCCCCACATCCCCACGCCTACTGCAGTGTAGGCTCCGCCAGCACCCCACCCCTCCCATGCTGCTGTCCTCGGCCCCCTGAGAGTTTCCACCGAAGCATCACCTTGGTTTAGGACTGAGGCAGCACAGGGGTCACGCGCCCGCAGGTGGTTAGGGAAAGGGTTCTGGGTGCCCCAAAGTGCTCTGGCAGTGAGGGGCTTGTCAAAACGGTCAGTGCCTCCCCCTGCAGCCCAGGTCCAAAGGGTGGGACCCAGAGGGCTAGGCTCCTGCCTCTGGTGCCCCAGTTCCAGAAGGTCCTCCCCTTTCCTTGTTCATTTAGCTTCAGAAGCCAAGGACCTGAGCCTTACGAAGTTAAAGCTGGGGGCATTCGGTTTAAAGCCGTTCCTCAGTGAACTCCAGAGCCTTCAGGGTCTTTACTTCACGCTAACAACAAAACAAACCAAAACCCAGCTCCAGCAAGTCAAGGCTGACTCATGGTGATCCCATGTGTGTTAGAGTAGAACTGTGCTCCATAGGGTTTTCAATGCTGAGTTTTTGGAAGTAGATTGCCAGACCTTTCTTCTGAGGTGCCTTTACTTAATAGAAGGAAGTCCACAGCATCTAATCCAGTCTCACAGCCCCACCGCTTCTTTCTGAGCCCTGATTCTGGAGGAGGCTGGATTCAAGATGAGGCATCAATTTCAATGTCCTTTACCAGGAGGCTGAAGCCAGACCACACAGAACTGTTGGCTGAAGGCCTGACCTAGGGACATGGCTTTATTACCGTTCACCACTATGCCACAGAGAAAGAAAAACAGCTTATTCTCGAACCTACTGGAAAGTCCATTGATTCATGTCATGGCTCATGACCTTATATGTATTTATTTTAAATGACATAAATGCCCACAGAATTGTTTTCCTTCTTTCTTTTTTGATTCTAAAATTCAAAAGGAAAAACAAACCAACAAAAAGCACAGCCAGAAACCTTCTAAAAAGGAGAGTAATTGAAGATGGTGGAGGGGGCTTGCCCTACAAGTTACGAAAGCATTTTCTAAAACATCAACCATCAAAACAGCACAGAACTGGTTCTTAAATAAACAAGCAATGGGGCAAATGAGAAAGCCCAAAAGAGACAAGGACACACAGAAATTTAGTATTTGTTAGAGGTGTTATCCTTGGGGTTAGGATGGACTTTTAAAATAAATTATGTTCAGAAAACCAGGCAGGGTTGGAAGAAGGCAGAGCTGGTGCAATTCCACGTGTCACCTATAGATCTCCCGTAGATAAAAAATTTGAATGTGAAGAAACAAAACCACGGAAGTCCTAAAAGACTGAAAAACCCATTACCGTTGAGGCTATTGCAACTCATAGTGACCCAATAGGACAGAGAAGAACTGCCTCACGGGGTTTCCAAGGAGTGGCTGGTGGATTCAAACTGCCAACCTTTTGGTTAGCAGCCCAATGCTTACCCGCCGGGCCACCGGAGCTCTATCTCACAACAATAAATGCAAAGTAAAACTACACTGAGAGACAGCTTTTCATCAGTTTGATTAACAAAAACCTCAAAATAAGGGCAAACTATTCTATTGGCAAGTTTGTGTGAAAGAAGCACTGTTACACATTGGTTGCCGGTAGGAGTGCAAAATGATACAACTCTTATGCGGAGCAATTTGGAAAGATCTAGACAAATTACATATGCATTTACTTTTTAAACAAATAATCCCGTTTACGGAAATTTATTCCTGTAAACAGTTCTGCACATAAACGAAAAAATAAAAGTGTTTAAAATATTTGCATCATTTTCGAATAGCAAAAGAGTGGGAACAACTTGAAGTATCCATCACTAGGGGACTGGATAGATAAACTGTGATATCGCCACGCAATGGAATATTAGTCAGCACCGAAAAGAACGAGAATGCCGTCTCCTGCTGTGGAAAGAGCTCTAAGATACATTGTTAACTGGAAAAAAGCAAGATACAGAATAGCATAGTCTCTGTGCTAACTTTTGTCTAACAAAGGGGGTATAAGAATATATACTTTTGTTTGCTCCATTCTGCATAAAGAAACACTGGAAGGATACAAAAATAATTGAAAAGAAAAAACCGACTACTCATTGGGGATGAGTGTGTAGACAGGAGCAGGGCGGAAGTAAAAGTAACATTTTTCAATGCCGACTTCATTACATTGTTTACATTTTTGAGCCAGACGAATTTATTTTCTATTTCAAAGAACACTTAAATCCGTAAAATTGAAAAAAGAAAAGAAAAACTCAACGAAAGAGTGCTTTAAGTAATCTCAGAGTCAGCTGTTTGTTATTTCAAAACAGCAAAAACAAAACCAGCTGCTTATTTAATTTACCAAGTCATTCTTTTTCCAAGGGAAGTCACTTACTTAAGACGTGGTCAGTGGGTCCCAAGTCACTTGGAAGCTTGTTAAAAATGCGGATTTCTGAGTAGTCCCCATGCTTTTTTTAGTCAAAATGTCAAGAACTGGATCTGTTAATTTGTGTTAAAAACAAAAACAAGGAAACACACAATTACCCAGGGCATTCCTGCTGCAGAGCCAGGCTCGGGCTCACCACGGGCCGACTGGCTAGCAAGAGGCAAGCGGCTCAGTGAACCAAAGAGATCAGACAGAGTGTTGTCTAGTGGGACCCTAAGCTGGGAGTGAGGGCGGGGCTCTTAGAATTTAGGGAGAAAAAAGAAAAATGGGAGATGTTCTTTGTCTGCCACGTATTAACAGTGACAGAGAACACAACATAGTACCGTAAGCTGAAAAAAAGACCATTGATTGCTTTGATCAATTGGAATGTGCTTCATTATCTTTCTACACAGAGGCAAGCTGTCATCAATTTCGTGATTGATCTATTTTGTTTGCTTTTCTGTCTTAGTCATCCCTTTTGTTGTTGTTGTTTTTAGGTGTTGTAGAGTCTGTTCTGACTCATAGCGACGCCATGTACAACAGAATGAAACGCTGCCAGATCCTGCATCAGAATCACAGGCATTGTTATGCTTGAGCCCATCGTTGCAGCCACTGTGTCAATCCATCTCGTTGAGGTCTTCCTCTTTTTCGCTGACCCCCTACCTTAGCAAGCATGATGACCTTCTCCAGGGACTGGTCCCTCCTGATAACTTGTCCAAAGTATGTGAGATGTGGTCTCGCCATTCTTGCTTCTAAGGAGCATTCTGGCTGTACTTCTTCCAAGACAGATTAGTTCATTCTTCTGGCAGTCCATGGTATATTCAATATTACTTGCCAACATCACAATTCAAAGGTGTCATTTCTTCTTCAGTCTTCCTTATTCATTGTCTTCACCCCTTTTTTCGTATCAATAATTTACTGCCTAAGTAAAAGTTTCCTTTTGATGATCTAACCAGAGACCTGATTTACTTGTATAGAAGCCCGGCATTCACATTCACCCCAACTGGCCTAACAGAAGAATACCGCTCTGGGTAGGCATTGCAGCCACTTTGAATCCTGGTGACGTGTGCTGCAGTTTTTCCTCCCGGTCAGCGTGCCCAGTGCAGCAGAGACCAGCTGAGTAGCGCTGGGTTGCGCCATGCTCATCTTGGGCAGCAGGGGGCAGCCTTTCCTCACTTTTCAGACAGTAATGGCATCTCAGCCTGCAGGAGGGTGAGAAGGAGCCAGGTGCTCAGGATGGGAGGCGAAGCCTGTGTGTTACTCAGGTGTGTGTTGGGGTGGGGGGTGTGTGTGAACATCAACAGCTTCTACTTGTGGAATTCTTGAAACCTGTCAAAACACATGAATAAACTCTTGTGTCAACCTAAAATTTTCTCACGATTTTCTCCAATGAGAAACCTGCCCTCCAGCTTAAACGTTAGGGCCCTGCAGCCTGATGCTTGGGTTCCGACTCCAGACCCTTTTCTGTCTGTGAGACCGGAGACAAGTTAGGAAACCTCAGTAAGTCCCAATCTGCTTATCCTTACCATGGAATAATAATAATACTTCCCTATGGAGTTGTTGGAGACCCTGGTGGTGTAGTGGTTAAGTGCTACAGCTGCTAACCAAAGGGTTGGTAGTTCAAATCCACCGGGTGCTCCTTGGAAACTCTATGGGGAAATTCTACTCTGTCCTATAGGGTTGCTATGAGTCAGAATCAACTCAACGGCAACGAGTTTGGTTTGGTTTCGGTTTATGGAGCTGTTGGAACCCTGGTGGTGCAGTGGTTAAGAGTTTGGTTGGTTAACCAAAGGGTTGGCTGTTCGAATCCACCAACCCCTCGTTGGAAACCCTACGGGGCAGTTCTATTCTGTCCTGTAGTGTCGCTAAGAGTTGTAATTGACTTGACGGCAAGGTTTTTTGTTTTTTTTAAGTGGGGTTGTTGTGAGGACTAAACGAGACCGCACATATGCTGTTTTATCACAGTGCCTGAGTACAGTTAGATCTGGTTGTCATCATTAGCTGCTTATAGATTCAATCCCTAACTCATGGTGACCCCACACACAATGGAATCAGACTGTAGTGATTCATGGGGTTTTCACTGGCTGATTTTAAGAAGTAGGTAGCCAGGCCTTTCTTCCTAGTCTGTCTTAGTCTGGAAGCTCCGCTGAAACCTGTCCTCCATGAGTGATCCCCCTGGTACTTGAAACGCTGGTGGCATAGCTTCCAGCAGCACAAAAGCCACCACAGTACGACAAACTGACAGACGAGGGGTGGGATGATAACATCCTGTTGCTGTCAAGTCGATTCTCATAATGCTTAGAACTGTGCCTGGGACATAGCAAGCTACTCCTGAAGTGCCTCACATCTTCTGGATACCTCAGCAGGCAGCATGTTGAGTTGGATTGGTCAGAGCAGGTGTGGATGGGGAGCAGGAAGAGGGCAGCTGGTCCCACGTTTCCCCAGGTGTGTTTGTTGGGGCACGAGAGGTTCCTTGTGGTCATAGGAGCCTGGGAAGTCCCGCCAACCCCACACAGGACGCACAGAGAGGCTGCGGTCAGCCAGGCCACACTTGTCTTCTCTGGAAAGAGTCCTGCCCACCCACCCCCATGTCCTAGGGTGCTGCTAAACCAGGACCCCACAGACATGCATGGGGACCTGGGGCTGTGCTCATCTCTTGGAGTGGAGGCCTGGGAGGGGAGCCCTGTCTGACCCCCAATGTGGGACAGTTCCAGAGTGAGGGGGGGGAAGAAGCAGACTCTGACACAGGCTTGAAACAGGGTCACTTTATTGTCACAGTGATGACAGGGCAGGGGCCTCAGTTGGCAGCAATGGTTTCTTGGATCCAGTCCACGTAGTTGCAGACCTTAGTGTAGACCCCAGGCAGGTTCTTCTGGGCACAGCCGTAGCCCCAGGACACAATGCCCTGCAGCTCCCCGTTGCAGACCACGGGGCCCCCGGAGTCACCCTGGAGGAGAGTGCCGAGTGTACCAGAGGGGGCAGCACCCCAGTCTGATTGTACACAGAGGGTAGCACCCCTAATCTGACTGTACACAGGGGGCAGAACCCCTAATCTGATTGTACACAGGGGGCAGCACCCCTAATCTGACTGTACCCAGAGGGAGGGGGCAGGACCCCTAGTCTGACTGTACACGGCAGGGGGCAGGACCCTTAGCCTGGTGCCCACACCCCACCTGAGGGCTGTGTGGGCTGGGGGCTGGGCTGCAGGCTCTCACCTGGCAGGAGTCCTTGCCGCCCTCGAGGAAGCCGGCACACACCATGTTCTCAGTGATATCCCCGGGGTAGGCAGCCTCACACTCCGCCTGGCTCAGCAGAGGGGCGTCCAGGCACTGCAGCAGGTCGGGGTAGTTCTCTGTGGGGCGTGGGGTGCAGGCCAGGGGACATGGGGATCAAGGCTGAGCACGAGGGCAGCCGTGGGGACCCAAATCTGTGTTTCCTTCCCCAGAGAGTCATTGTGGAGCCCCCTCCCCCACCAGTGACAAGAGCAAGTGCTGTCTGAATGGCAACTCTGGGACCTAGAGCAGAGCCTGCATGGGTGCCGCTGGAAGTGTCTGCGGGCTGGAGGAGAAGACCCCCACCAGGACACGCGTATGTGGGTGAGGGTCCCACTCACGGCCAGAGCTGAGGGTGTTGCCCCAGCCAGAGATGAGGCACCAGGTGCCAGCAGCTGCGCAGCTTGAGGGCAGGGGCACGGGGGCCACCTGGGAGTTGATAGTGGCCTCTGAGGACAGCTTGATCAGCAAGATGTCGTTGTTCAGGGTCCAGCTGCTGTAGCGAGGGTGGCGGATGACCTTGGCTGAGTTAATGAACTGCTCGTTCCCCTCGAGGACATCGATGTTGTGTTCACCCAACCTCACCTGGATGCGGCTGTCGGGCAAGGGAACCGTAGTGAAGACCCCTTCCCAGCACAGGCTTCCACAGATCCCTGCTCTCCCCAGGGTGCTGGTGAGGCTACAGCTTCTCCGGCTGCCTGTTCCACCCCTTATGCATCTGCACTATGTGCATGAGAGAGCACCCCCGAGTACCCAAGCCTGCTCCATCCTTGGGGCCCTGCTAACCAGGCACATCTGTAGGACTTGACCCAGAGGCTCTCAAAGTGTTAATTGCTGTGGAGTCAATTATGACTCATGGTGACCCCATGTGCTCCTCCATAGGGTTTTCAAGGCTGTGAACTTTTGGAAGCAGATCTCCAGACCTGTCTTCCGAAGAGCTTCTGGGTAGATTCGAACTGTCAACCTTTCTGCTAGTAGCTTAGTGCTTAATGGTTTGCACCATCCGGGGATTCCTACAGCATCAGCATCACCTGGGAACTTTGTAGGAATTCAGATCCTCAGGCTGCCCAGGCTTAGGGTGGAGGGGGGTGGGCAGTCTGAGGCTTACCACACCCCCAGGTGATTCTGATGGTGCCCAAGTTTGAGCCCCGTACAGGCTGGAGTCAGCCGAGGGAGAGAGGATGACACCCACCAGTAGTCAGGCCCTGCTTCTGGAACATTCTGAGGTAGTTGCTCTGGGATGGGACCAGGCACTAGGATCTTTTAGATGTGTCTTAGATGGTTTATGTGCAGCCACAGGCCAGGGTTACTAGGGCGGGGTCCTTGCCTACCCTCCTCATACTCAGAGGTAACCCTCCCTGCGGTCAGGTGTACTGGCTCCAGCCCCCTCTGTGCGCTGGGCTCTCTCAGGTTCGGCTACTGGTAGCCTTGTCTCCTCCCTGCTGCCTTTCCCATCCGTCTTCAGTGCCCCACTGAACCCAGGCTCTTGGGGTCCCCAGATCTGGGCTGTTGCACCAGCCCACACTTACTACTTGTAGCAGTGGGCCGCGGACACCACCCACTGCTTGCTGATAAGGGAACCACCGCAGAAGTGGTAGCCCGAGTTCAGGGACACCTGGTAGGGCACAGAGTTCTCCTTGCAGGTATAGCCCCCGACAATCTTGTCATCATCATCGTTTGCGGAGGAAGCAACTTGGGTGGAGAGAGGAAGGGAGAGGGGGTCAGCAGGCCATGGGAGGTGGAGCCCAGGACTGTGGCTGAGCGCGCTAATTAGGGCTCGTGAACAGCACAGAGAGAGGGACTCGAGGGGAAGTCGAAGGATGTAGCTCTCCGGGGCTCTGTGGTCTCCTAGGCCCCAGCCTCTTTGGGGGCACCAGCATGAAGACCCAAGAACTGCCCCCACGAGAAACTCAGGGAATGCGGGTTGGAATGTGGCTTCCAGCCTGCAGAGTGTTGCCCTCGTGTCTTCACTGGCCTACTCTCCATGGCCACTGGGTCACTTGAGCCTCAGGTTGTCAGGACAGTTTGGCCCCTCTGGGAAAGTCTCCTAGTGGGATGGCCCTGACTGTGCCAGCTTCTCCCACAGCTTAAGTCTGGGAGTTGGGCAGGGTGGACACCATCCCGCAGGCCCACCTGGGTGGGACAGAGGTGAGCACTGTTACCAGCCAGTGAACAGTGATTCCCAAGCTTGGCTGCCCTCCTGGGAGTCTTCTAGTCACCTGGGAAGTTTAAAAATTCAGTGCCCAGGTCGCACCCCGAGCCTGTTAAGTCCGAATTTCTAGGGCAGGACCCCAGAGTTGGTATTTTTCCACCTCCCTAGGTGACTCTATTGGTGGCCATGACTAAGAACAGCTGCAGTGGCCCACTTCCAGGACCACCTCTACTTGCTTCCCTTCCAGCCTCCTCCGTCCGGTTTTCTTCCAGCCTCCTCCACCTGGTTCACTTCCAGGACCATCTCCACCTCCTCCCTTCTACCCTCCTCCACCTAAGCCCTGATGTAGGTGGATGCCAGTGGGTGACAAGGAGTCAGGTAGAAGGTGAGAGAGGCAAGCCTTCAAGAGAGTCCAAGGATGGTGCGTGGTGGGGAGGAGGGTGTGGACAGGGGTTGGAGCATTGGAGCACAGGTAGCTCAGGAGAGGCAGCAGATGAGGTAGGTCCAGGTCTGCCCAGAGAGGGAGGCAGGGATAGCTTCGTGGACTCACCAGCAGTGGCCACCAGGGCCAGGATCAGGAGTGGCTTCATGGCAGCAGAGGTGTGATTGTGGGTGGTGGGGAGCCCATCTTATATCCCCCCCGGTGAGAGTGGAGTTAAAGAAGGAAGCGAGGGGGCCACCCTCCCCCAGTACAAACACTTGCAGCTTTTCCCTTCCCAGGGTGTTGCATCAGCTCTGCAGGATGTACAGGTGATACGAAAACTTACCTTCAAGGTGAGACAGCTGATCCTGGAAAAATTCTGGGGCGGGGGTACAGGGAGGCCAGCCCCCCATCACACAGCGGGGTTTCCTGAAGTCAAGGAGGTTGGGTGGGGTGGATGGCCTGAGCCCTTACGTGCCCTCTGACCTGGGGAGATATCTGGGGTGGCATGGCTGGCAGCTGGGCTGCTCAGGGTCCTGGTCCGTGAGAGGGCACAAGTCTGGTCTAGCCTTACACCTGTGAGTATGACAGCCTTCTCCTGGGTCTGCACCACTGGGCAGGAAGGTGGAACCCAGAGCTTCGGGGAACCAAAATCCCAGCAGGAGAGGTGCCGAGGGGAGAGGCTGGGCCCTCAGCTGACTGAAAGGTGGAGGGGTGCTTGGGGGAGAAGCTGGGCCCTCAGCTGACTGAAAGGTGGAGGGAGATACTGGGAGGGAGGGGGGAGCAAGGGTTAAGTAGGAGATCACCTGATACATGGGGGGTTGGAAGACCGATGCTACCACACCCCTCCTCTTCCTCACTGTAGGACCACCCTGGAAGGTGACGAAGGTGATGAGAACCTCCTGGGAGCTGTGGGCCTGGGCTGGAATTACTGCCCCAGATCTGACATTAGAAGGAGTCTGGACAATGGTAGACTTGAGTTCTGATCAGAGAATCAGTAGATAGATTAGCACACGGTAGAGGGCTAAGTATTGGAGCCGTTAACAATGACTGGAGGGGAATTCTGGAATTTTCTCTTTTAGATGGAGGGGGACTGCTGTGATGCTGGGCTCACTATGGAGTGGAAATCTCCAGTCTTCCCAGAAAGGCTTCCAATTTGGGACCTGCCAGGGCCACCAGGACACAGCCTGCAACTTGTTGAGGCAGATCTGGCCAGAGGGGCGTGTAGGTGGAGCAGTCTGTGTCCTGGTTGGCCCAGTTGGAGGGGCAGTCTTATGAGGAGCCCTCCTTCCCAGCTCCTCTGAGCTCATGGTCATGAGGACAGCAGTGGGTGGATTCTCATCTGAATTCTCTGAAAGGAAGAGAAGGAGCTTACTTTCTGGAGACAGTGAACAAACGGAGTTGACTCAGAAACCTGGGGGTAGGAGGAGGGCAGCCTGCAGGCCGCAGGGTGGAGTGGAGGGAAGCAGAGGGGTTGTGGGACATGTTGTGGGAGGGATACGTGGGGTGTCTTCTGGTTCAGCCCCTGGTGTGGCTGCTGAGCCAGCTTCTCCACGAGAGGGGGCCCCTTTTAAGAGCCTCCCCTCTTCAATGTGCCCCCTGGACCCCCAACAGGCTCATACCTAGATGGGAGTGCTGAGGTCTGCCAGTTTTTAAAGTGCATTCACACAGACACAAAGTAGTACCCCAAATCGCCTTTGCGTTGAGTTTCAGGGTTTAACTTGTCACAAATACTTTGTCAGCATACAGGAAGAAATGATCTCCATTTGCACAGCAGGAGACTGAGACTCAGAAAAGCTCTGTCTTGCTCAAGAGCATGCAAGATGGTAGAACTGGCCTCATGTCCCGGGGAAATCCGGAAAGTGTTGAGAGTGGAGAATTGCTGCAGGTGGCATCTGGCAGGCTTGTTGGGGATTGAGCTAGCGGTCTTGGAGGGAAATGACACATCTTGATTCCTCCTGGCAGGAGTAGAGGGTGGAGTTGAATTTTCACCTGGCACCTGGTCTCAGGGCCCCCTTTGCTTTGGCCCCGGGCCCATGGAGGCCCTATACAAGGTATGGTGGCTCCACTCTGGGGCTTATGTGGAGCTGGCCAAGTCTGTGGTGGCCAGACTGTGGAGCCTTGTTAATGGACTGGGTTGACCTTTCCCCTTGTCATGGGGTCTTCCTAGCAACTCCTGCTTTAGAGGATACGGGGAGACTTGCCCTAGGTTCTATAGACACCAGTGTGTACCTGACAGTGGCCCCCGGGAGGTGACCATTGAAGCCAAAGAAGCAGTGCCAGCTTTGCGCATGGGGAGGTGTATCATCGGCATGTTTTATCTACTCTTGATGCTACAATGGGGGGAGAAGAGGAAGTCTCTAGCAACTGAGGTTTCCACTTTACCTAAAGGCAGATTGGTTCCTGTCATTCAGTATTGACCATCTTTATGTGCACAGTTCAGCCACTCCCTGTCCCATCCTTGGGCCTGCATTAAAGCTGCTTGAATGCCTGCAGAGCCTACTGGACAGAAAGCAGAAGAAAGCCAGCACAGATCCCAGCAGGGAGCCCGATGTGGGCTGTTGTTACTGAACAGCTCTGGCTTGTTCATGATACTCAGGGTTTAGTAAGTGACAGTGTTTTCATTTCTCTAAATCATCTACTGAGCCTCACAAGCCAAGTTTGGGGGTCAGTCCAGACAGTTGACTAGGCTCCCTCTCATGCTTGGATTGGAAGGCAGTCTACACTTTGGAAGGTAGCCAACTGGTTGGCCCACTTCCTCTCAGCCAGCTTGGCCAGGAGGGACTTCGAAAGGCTCCCAAGGGTCCAAGTGGAGTGCTTAGTCTGCATAGGTAACCCAGTTCCAACTGGGAAGCTGCCTTCTCAAGGCCACTGTGTCTGAGCAGAGTCTGAGTTTTGCCTCTTGTCATGGATTGAATTGTGTCCCCCCAAAAAAGTGGGTAGCAGCTTGGCTGGGTCATGATTCCCAGTATTGTATGATTGTGTTATCTGATGTGATTTCCTTGTGTGTTGTAAACTCTACCACTATGATGAGATTGTATGTGATCTCCTCATGTGTTATAAATTCTGTCACTGTGATGAGGTTATACTGATGAGGTTGACAAGATTAGTGTCTTAATGCAATCTCTTTTGAGATATAAAAGATAGAAGTGAGTAGAGACACAGGGGAACCTCATACCACCAAGAAAGCAGTGCTGGGAGCAGAGCACGTTCTTTGGATCTGAGGTTCCTGTGCAGGGAGGCTCCCGGACCAGGGGAGGACTGATGACATGGACTTTACCCCAGAGCCAATGGAGAAAGCGTTCCCTTGGAGCTGATGCCCTGGATGTGGACTTGTAGCCCACTGGACTGTGAGAGAATAGATTTCTCTTTGTTAAAACCATCTACTTGTGGTATTTCTGTTGGAGCAGCACTAGATGACTAAGACACCTCTCTAGAGCCAGACATCTGTTCCTGTTCCCATCTTGGAGAAGGCAGCAGCTGAGGGGGTTTGTCACACAGTGCTGGGCAACTTCTCTACTCAAATATTTGAGTTTGTTAGAGACTTCCTCTTCTCCCCCCTAATGAAGCATGAAGAGTAGACAAAACATGTAAATGGCACATCCACCTGTGCGCAAAGCTGGCACAGCTTCCTCAGCTTCAAGGGTCACCTCCCATGGCGCAGTTGTCTAGTGCACACTGGTGTCTACAGAACCTAATCTATCCCCTCCGCTCTCAGAACAATCCACTTAGTTTCTTTATAGGCTTCGACAGTACAAATGCAATATCTGTGTAGAGTTTTTCTCCAGGGAAGTCCACTGCTGCTTAGTGAAATTTCCTCTCCTCTGAAACATATTTCTTTCTCAATAAGTATTTACTGAGTTTTCGTGATGTTCCAGTTCTTCTAAACTCTAAGGAAACAGCAATGAAGAAGATAGCAAAGGTTCTTGCTTTCATGGCATTTACATGAGTGTATGTGTATATGTATGTAGTTATAGAGATGGGAAGCAGACAATTGGATCCCCCTATCATGTAACTTGAGTCCTGGTGGCACTGTGTTTAAGAGCTCAGCTGCTAACCAAAAGGTCAGCAGTTCGAATCCACCAGCTGCTCCTTGGAAACTCTGTGGGGCAGTTCTACTCTGTCCTATAGAGTCACTATGAGTCAGAATTGACTCGATGGCAGTGGGTTTTTGGTTATTAAGTAACTACCAAATATAGTTTGTTTTGGCTTAAGAGCTGAGCTAATTTTTTGGAGCACGTACTCTGTGTTTGGAATGCATTATTTCAGTCTATCGGTTGGTTAGGCTACTTAGGCTGCTATTATCACCCCAAAGCCCAACCGTTAACATCCACACTATTATAGATTGCCCCACCTCTGCCCTTGCCTGTGCTGCAGTCAAGGAGAATGTGGTGAATAACCGAGAATGAGAGATCCAACACACCAAAGGAAACCAGGCACCGCCGGAAAGCAAGCCTTGCAAAGCTTACCTACCTTATCTTTGATTCTGAGATTCCATCCATTATAAGAGGTCCCATGAAGTATGTAATTGTTCTGTTTGGAGTGGCAATCAACACTGCTACACTGAAGTTATATTTTGATTATAGGACTGACCCATATTTCAAAATAATGAAATTGTGAAAAAGAATTTATCTTGTAATAGAGGGAATATGGCATGGTAAGGATGGTGATATTTCAGTAATCCTTTCGTATGGCTATGGAGTGGTGTGTGTGGGTGTGTATGTAGAGAGAGACATGGGAAGCAGACAATAAGTATATACAGTACATACACTTCATTACAGAGAACAGTTAGGTGTTACTAAGTGGGGTAAGGTGACAATGTGACAGGGAGAGGCTGCTGGGTGTGTCTACAAGTGCTGCACTAGGTCAGGTGGTTGGGCAAGATCTCTTGGATGAGATGGGATTTGAGATGAGACCTGAATAAAACAAAGATATATATGATTCCCTGGGTAAGGACATCATGCTTGGTAAAGTACAGCGTCAGCGAAAAAGAGGAAGACCCTTAACGAGATGGATTAACACAGTGGCTACCACAATGAACTCAAGTATAGCAGAGATTGTGAGGATGGCACGGAACCAGGCAGCGTTTCCTCCTATTGTACATGGGGTCACTATGAGTCGGAACTGACTCAACAGCACCTAACTACAACAAAAACTATTTGAAAAAATTTTTTGATGTATTTTATCTAGAATTTCTATTTGTTTTGAGAGAATGGGGGGTTCCTACTCTGTTAGGCCCAACCACAAGGACTGGAAATCTGTCAGAGACCTAAGAGGGAGAAAGAAAAACATTGACGTCTTTAGCTCAACAATACATAACTTCCCCGGCCTTAGATACAGGATTACAAATTACAGAAATGTCCTCGGTTTCTAGGTATATGACTAAACTCTGTGCGACATTTTGATCGCAGGTGTGGAAAAGTGGTTTTGTCCACTGACCATTGAATCCAGGAGTCGTCATTGATGCTGAGATGTCCTGAAGTCAAAGTTGAGATGCAACCTGGAGGATTCCATCCTCCGAAACTCAATAATGATTGTTAAGCACATGTATCCTCAGTGATCTGATCCAAATAACCAGTTATTTTTTCTAGGCTCAAAAGTCTGTGTTTTTGTAGAAATAATACCGCTTAAATTTCCTCTTTAAACTGTTAAAAGTATTGTTAAAAAAAAAAAAACCACTATATTTTTGAATACCAAATAGAGCTTGTGTTAGGTTTGATTTCAACTTCACTACATAGGTGCATGAGAGCATCAACAGCTGGCCTTGACTCACTGAAGTATTTCTATGCATTCCTCCAGAAGAAGTTTAACTCTCAGCCTCCTGGATGCCCTCTTCCTGTCTGTGGTTGGAACCCACCACTAGTGCTCCCTGTCTCCCAGCCCCATGTTGATCCTCGCACCACACAATCCACACCCAGTCCCACCCACAGGCACACAGAGAGTGGCGTCAGCCATCTTGGGGTCTATGGGCTCTTCTGGTGGACTGGGTGGGGGCATGGGGTTTTTGCCCAGGCCGTGGGTCTGTGCCCAGCACTGTGCCCCAGTGCTGCACAGGTAGATGCCACTGTCCTCGGGGCTGCTCTTTGTCACAGTGAGAGTGGAGAAGGTCAAGTTTGGGTAGTTGATGGGGAACTTGTCCTTGGTGAATCCACTCTTATACGTGGCCTCTGAGCCCTGGTTCGCAGTTGCAATCAGTGTCAAGCCCTGTCCTGGGGGCTGGCGGTACCAGAACATGGAAGTGACTTGAGTATCCACCTGACACTGGATCTTCACTGCGGTCCGTGTTGACAGATGTCCCTGCTTGGCTTTTGAGAGACGAGGACACCGAACACAGAGCCTAGATCCAGACAGAGCAGGGAAACGCTTCAGGGATCAGAATCCTCCATCCAACATGCCCCACACCTCCTGCCTGGTGGTCTGAAAGCCCCTGGAGAGAAAGTGGCGCCTCCCCAACCCTCGTCTCTGCAGTGCCATGAACCCCAACTCCCCAAGCGACAAGGCTCACACCTAGTCCCAGGAGAAGCAGCAAGAAACTCAGCATGTTTAGGCGATGGCCCCCTCTCTCCCCTGCCCTGAGGGAAGGCACTAAGAACTCAAGTACAAGTTGGTCCTGTCTCCCACTTCCTGGTTCCTTTATGCTCTGTCTCCGCCTCCTCCAGCAGGGTGGTGATCAGTCCCCTAGTGGGTTGCGTGGATCCTCACTTAGGATGCACCTGACTCCATCCATCACTTACCCATCCCCCACCCACCCATCATGACGGAGCACCATGGATGTGCTGCCTTTGGGAAGACAGGCTTGAAGGATGCAGTGTTGACCTCGGAAAACCAAAGGTAGCATTTTGGAAAATGAGCAGGTTTTATAACTCAGTATTCCAACTTGTCTGCTGGTCATTACTGTTGTCCCATCAGCACAAGAGAAGTAAATTTTAAGCTGAACTCACTGTTTCTCCCCCAACACACACTCCAGCACAGGCTCCTACTCCTGAACCCTCCCTCCCAATAGATAGTATCCCCATTCCTGTTCTCAGCTCATAAATGCAACCTCCTCACCTCTTTCCTATCACCTACCCTGTCTACCTCATCACAACTTAAATGCATTATGTCTCTGCAGTGTCTCCAACATTTCTTCCTTCACTTCAGTCATCATAGATCTGACTGTTTCATTTCCCTTTATCTAATCCTGGGCCTTTGTAATAAGGGTCCTTCCATTCTAACCATGTCCAGTAGGAGCTATGAGACAGACCATCCCTCTGTAATGTATGACCACAGTTCTGTGACCCTATTCCATCATCCATTTGATTTCAAAAACCACTTGATGGCAATTATTTTTTGTTTTTTTTCAGTCATGTAACTACCTAAAATAGTTTTTGTTGGCTTAAGAGCAGAGCTAATTTTTTACAACACTTACTCTGTGTTTGGAATGCATTATTTCGGTGTATCAATGGGTTAGTCTACTTAGGCTGCTCTTATCACCCCAAAGCCCAACTGTTAACATCCACACTATTAAAGATTTCCACACCTCTGCTGTTGTCTGCCATTGTCGAGTAGAATGTGGCGGATGACCGAGAACGAGAGACCTAATTCGCCAAAGGAAACAGATCACCTCCAGAAAGCAAGCCTTGCAAAGCTCACCTACCTTGTTTCTTTGATTCTGAGATTCCATTCATCATAAGAGGCCCCATCAAGTATACAATTGTTATCTTTGGAGTGGTGATGAACACTACTACACTAAAGTTATAATTTGAGTATAGGACTTACCGTATTACAGAATAATGAAATTTTGAAAAAGGATTTATCTTGTAATAGAGGGAATACGGCATGGTAAGGATGGTGATATTTTACTAATCCTTTGGAATGGATGTGGAGTGGTGTGGTTGGGTGTGTATGTAGAGAGACACACTGGAAGCAGACAATTAGGAAGTATATATGGTACATAGGCTTCACTTGAGACAACCATTAGTCATTACTAAGTGGGATGAGGTGATAAAGTGATAGGGAGAGGCTGCTGGGTGTGTCTACAAGTGCTACACTAGGTAGGGAGGTTAGGCAAGGTCTCTTGGAGGAGACGGGATTTGAGCTGAGACCTGAATAAAACAAAGATGTATATCAGTCCCTGGAGAAGGACATCATGCTTGGTAAAGTAGAGGGTCAGCGAAAAAGAGGAAGGCACTCAATGAGGTGGATTGACACAGTGGCTTCAACAGTGGGCTCAAGGATAACAACGATTGTGAGGATGGCGCAGGACCCAGCAGGGCAGTGTTTTCTTCTGTTGTACATGGGGTCACTGTGTCAGAACCGACTCAATGGCACCTAACAACAACAGCAGTATAAATTTTAAAATTTCTTTTAATATATGTAATCTAGAATTTCTATTTGTTTTGAGTGAAGGAGGGGCTCCTATTCCGTTAGGCCTACCCACAATGACTGGAAATCTGTCAGAGATCTAAGAAGGAGAAAGAAAAACATTGACATCTTTAGCTAAAAAAGACATAACATCCTTGCCACTTAGATATAGAATTACAAATTACAGAAATGTCCTGGGTTTCTAGGTATATGACTAAATTCTGTGCAATATTTTGACCTCAGGTGTGGAAAGTGGTTTTGACTATTGAATCCAGGAGTCGCCATTGATGCTGAGATGTCCTGAAGTCAAAGTTGAGACCAGACCTGGAGGATTCCATCCTCCAAAACTCAGTAATGGTTGTTAAGCACACATATCCTCGATGATGTGATCAAAATTACCAGTTATTATTTCTAGGCTCAAAATCTGTGTATTGCTTTAATTTCCTCTTTCAACTGTTAAAAGTATTGCTGTTAAAAATAAAAAACGGCATTTTTTAAAGTTTCATTTTATTGTAATTTAAGTGAAAATTTACAATTCAAGTTAGTCTCTAATACAAAAATTTATACATGCATTGTTATTTGACCCTAATTGCTCTGCCTAAACTTTGACTACACCTTTCCATCCCTGATTTCCTATGTCCATTCAACCAGCTCCTGACCCTCTCTGCCTTCTCATCTCACCTCCGCAAAGGAGCTGACCGTTTAGTCGCATGTATCTACTTGAGCTAAGAGGCACACTCTTCACGAGTATCATTTTATGTCCCATAGTCCAGTCTAATCTTTGTCTAAAGAGTTGGCCTCGGGAGTTGTTTTAGTGCTGGGTTGACAGAGAGTCTGGGGGCCGTGCTCTCTGGTGTTCCTCCATTCTCAGTCAGACCATTAAGTCTGGTGTTTTCACTAGAATTTGAGTTCTGCACCCCACTCTTCTCCTGCTCCAGCAGGAACTCTCTGTTGTGTTCCCCGTCAGGGCGGTCAGTGGTGGTAGCCGGGCACCATCTACTTCTTCTGGTCTCAGGCTGTTGCAGTCTCTGGTTTATGCGGCCCTTAAAAAAGCTGTATTTTGAATAGCTAATACAGCTTGTGTTACATTTGATTTCAACTTCACAAAACTTGTGCATTAGGCCAACAACAGCTGTTCTTGACTCGCTGAAGAATTTCTACACATTCTTCCAGAAGAAGTTTGACTCTTGGCCTTCCGGGCACTCTCTTCCTGTCTGTGGCTGGAACCCATCTCTAGTGCTCTGTGTTCTTCCAGCCCCACTTCACTACTCTCCCCAACCAACCCACACCCAAACTCACTCAACCCACACCCGCTCCCACCCACAGGCACACAGACAGCGGCATCAGCTTCACTGGCGTCTGTGGGCTTGTCTGGTGGACTAGGTGGGGGGGGCGGGGTTATTGCTCAGCCCTCAGGTCCTTGCCCAGCACTGTGCCCCAGCGCTGCACAGATAGACGCTGCTGTCCTCAGGGCTGCTGTTTTTCACAGTGAGGGTGGAGAAGGTGAAGTCTGGGTGGTTGATAGCAAACTTGTCCTTGGTAAACCCGCTCTCGTATGTGGCCTCTGAGCCCTGGTTCGCAGTTGCAATCAGTATCAAGCTCTGTCCTGGAGGCTGGTGATACCAGAACATTCTATTGACTTGGGTATCGACCTGACATTGGATCGTCACTGGGGTCCCGTGTTGACAGATATGCCTGCTTGGCTTTTGAGAGACGAGGACACCGAACGCAGAGCCTAGTTCCAGAGAGAGCAAGGAGACGCATGAGAGATCAAAATCTTCCATCCAAAATGCCCCACATCCCTTGACTGGTGGTCTGAGAGCCTCTGGAGAGAAACTGGTGCCTCCCACCCCTGGGCTCTGCAGTGCTGTGAACCCCAACTCCCCAAGCAACAAGGCTCGCACCTAGTCCCAGGAGAAGCAGCAGGAGACTCGGCATGTTTAGGCGGTGGTCCCCTCTCTCCCTTGCCCTGAGGGAAAGGGCTAAGAAGTCGAGTACCAGTTGGCCCTCCCTCCCACTTCCTGGTTCCTTTATGCTCTGTTCCCCTCCTTCAGCAAGGTGGTGAGTTTCTGCAGAACAGGCAAGAAATTGATCCACCCCCTAGTGGGGCAGCGTGGATCCTCACTTAGGATGCATCTGACTCCATCCATCACTTACTCATTCCCCTACCCACTGCTCATTACTGAGCACCATGGATGTGCCACCTTGGGGAAGACAGGCATGATGCATGCACTACTGACCTCGGAAAACCAAAGGTAGCATTTTGGAAAATGAGCAGGTCTTTTAACTCAGTATTCCAGCTTGTCTGCTTGTCATCATTGTTGTCCCATCGGCACAAGAGAAGTAAAGTATAAGCTGAACTCACTATTTCTCCCCCAACACACACTCCAGCACAGGCTCCTACTCCTGAATCCCCCTCCCAATTGATAGCATCCCCACTCTTGTTCTTGGCTCAGAGACGCATCCTCCTCACCTCCTTCCTCTCAGCTACCTTTTCTACCAGGTCACAACTTAAATGCATTGCATCTCTGCAGTGTCTCTCACATCTCTCCCTTCACTTCGGTTGTCACAGACCTAAGTGTTTCCTTTCTCCTTAGCTAATCCTGGGCCGTTGTAATAAGGGTCTTGCATTCTAATCCAGCCCAGTAGGAACTATGAGACAGACCATCCCTGTGTAATGTCAGAGCACTGTGACCCTTTTCCATCATCCAGTGAGTTCCCCTGTAACTACCTAAAATAGTTTGTTTTGGTTTAAGAGCTAAGCTAATTTTTTGGGACACTTACTCTGTGCTTGGAATGCATTATTTCAGTGTATCGATGGGTTAGGGTACTTAGGCTGCTAGTATCCCCCCAAAGCCCAACCATTAACGTCCACACTATTAAAGATTGCCTTTCCAGTTGCCTGTGCCGATCTGGAGTAGAAAGTTGTCGATGACAGAGAACGAGGGAGCTAATTCCCCAAAGGAAACCAAGCACCCCCAGAAAGCAAGCCTTGCAAAGCTCACCTACCTTATTTTTTTGATTCTGACATTCCATTCATTATAAGAAGCCCCGTATAGTATGTAACTGTTATATCAGGAGTGGTGATTAACACTACTACATTAAAGGTGTACTTTGATTATAGGATTTACCAATATTTCAGCATAAAATTGTGAAAAACAATTTACCGTATAAGGGAGGTAATGTTGCATGTTAGAGATGGTGATATTTCATATGGATATGGTGTGTGTGTGTGCGTGTGTGTGTGTGTGTGTGTGTGAAAGAGAAAGGCTTCTACGTTTATTGGAGGTGCCAGACTCAGTGGCTCAAGATAAATCCCACTTAGTAGAATTACCGGTAAAAGGTATAGCATATTCCATTTTTTCTTGACATATAGGGGTATGGCAAAATTTTCTTTTTGTCAAGTATACTAAACTTTTTACCAAAATATTTTTCTGTTGCATTATTCTTAAATCCTTCTGGAAATTAGCAAATTATCCGTATTCTTCACAAAATTCCACATTTTTCCTCCCTCATTGATCTTCTTTTTTTTCAAAACAGCAACAAAATCATTTGTCTCCCTTTTCATGTTTTTCAAACTGTAGCGGTCTCTCTAGATTTTTCTTTCACGAGAAGTCATAAACACTAAATTATCATATAATTTTCATGTATTATGTATGAGACATATTCTATCTGTTCAACAGATAGTAACTGACCCTTTTCTGCTTTTGGAATACAAAAGAAACGTTGTTGTTAGCTGATGTTGAGTCAGCCCTGACTCATGGTGACCCCATGTACAACAGAACAAAACACTGCCCAGTCCTGTGCCATCTTCATGATCATTGTATGCTTGAGTCCATTGCTGCCACCACTGTGTACTTTCAGTGCTTTGCAGCCTAGGGGGTCTCATCTTCCGGCACTATATTAGACAGTGTTCTATTTTTATCCTTAGGGTTTTCACTGGCTGATTTTCAGAAGTAGATCACCAGCCCTTTCTTCCAAGTCTCTCTTATTCTGGGAGGTCTGCTGAAACTTGTCCATCACGGGTGACCCTGCTGGTATTTGAAATACAGGGGGCATAGCTTCCAGCATCACAGCAATAGGCAAGTCTCCACAGGACCACTTGTCGGCAGGTGGTGGGGAGATAATTCAGTGCCCAAGAATTAGTGTTTTTGGAAGGAACAGACGTGTTAATACAAGTCAAGAGTTTAGAACTGTGCCCAGTGCATAACAAGCCACTCCCAAAGCATCCTAAGTGTTTATCCTTGTATCTCTACCACAAGAAACTCACACCTTTTCTCCCTTTGAAGTAGTTAACTCCAATCTCTTTCTCAGTACACATTTCAGCCCAAATCCTGCCTCTTGCATGGGAATACCTTTGACCATCTGCGTTGACCCCTCTTTGTCTGATCCCCTTCACCACCGAGTTAGTGTTTGTTTTTGTCCCACTCATAGCGACCCTTTTCACACTTCTTGCGCATGAGTTCTGGTATCTTAACTCGTGTTTAAGTTTCCAGAAGGAGAAATTACATCGTGCGCTAAGACATGTAAGACATGAAGGCACGTAGTGGAACAACAAATATTGTCTCAATAAAATATGTTCTATTTCTTTAAATCAAATAAGATTTATTTTTGAAATGGTACGTAGGTAGATTTAAAGTACCCTGACCAGAGCATGCTGGGACCTGCCTTGGAGACCTTCTTCTTTGATCCCCTGCTCACCTCGCTCCTGGACTTTGGAAGAGGCCTCCTGTGCCCAAAAGCTGCCCTCTTCCCTGCCTGCTGCCTCATCGTGGTTCCTAAGGAGGGACCCTGGTACGTGCACGGAGCTGCAGCCTCAGGTCCTCTGCATTGCCCGGCTCTGCAGACTGGGCCATTCATCACGAATATGAGAATTATTTCTTGGCTGTCCTTGGGTTATCTCCAATTCTAAAAAATTCTTCTTATACATAAAACTGTCATGAAGATATTTTAGGAACTATCAAAAGAATCCACCTAATTCTGCCTTCCATCAGGTCCCCTGTCACCTTGCTCCTGGGACCAGATGTGCAGGTACCTGGGTGACTCTGGCATCCTGGAGGTTGAGGGAGAAAGAACCAGAAGCTGGAGACCAGGCCATGGAAGGAGGCTGCTGCTGTCGTTGTGCAGACAGCACTGTGTCTGGAAGGGTCATTGCATCCGTGACTCACCTGTCTCCAGGGACAAAGTCTACCCAGCAGAAAGCCCAGAGCACTGTCTCTGGGTCCCCTGCACTCAGCCGAGGGGGTAATAACTAGGAGGGCAGCTCTGTTAAAGGGCCACCAGGGCACACCCCTTTGTCTCTCAGAGACAGTGGGGAGTGGGGGTCAGCCAGTCTATAGGGCATGGGTCACCTGAACTGCTCAGACTCTATACAGCCCCTCCTTCCTACGGCTATGTTTATCCCAAATCAGCTCAAGTCCCGCCTCTCATATGAACTTAATCCTGAATACTCTAGCGTGCATTGATTTACTTTTTCCCTTGAATTCCTCTACCTAAAAATTTAGCACTGAATCAAAATTTATTAGGCATACCTTTCCACGTGCCTGATTTCTCTTGTCAATAGCTTTGCAACCCCCTTGCAGTTTTGGATATTTTGTATTCTTTATGTTTCTTTCGTATTCCCAAAGCAGAAACAGGGTGAACTAATATTTGCTGACAGGATAGAATATGTTTCTTTCTTAAAAAACATGCAAAATTTCTTTCCAGTATGTTTCATTCTTAAAAACATACAAACTTTCTCTCCGAATGATTGTGGGGACAGATATAAAACTTAATCCATTGCCATCGAGAGGATTCTGACTCATAGCAAACCTACAGGACAGAGTAGAACTGCCCTATGGGGTTTCCAAGGCCGTAATCTTTACAGAAGCAGACTGCCACATCTTTCTTCCGCAGAGCTGCCAATGGGTTCAAATTGCTGACCATTTGATTAGCAACCAAGAGTTTAATTACTGTGCCACCAGGGCTGCTAAGTATTGGAGTTGCAATTTTTACAACTTTCTGCCTCATCTTTTACTCCTTCTCTGGCCAGAATTGCCATCTAAAACATCATTGACCAGTAAGAGAAACTGGAGAAAGATTTTTAACATTATATCTTTTAAATTGAGTGAACAGAATTCAATTTCAACAAGCATTCTCTTGAAACAGCAAGTGGAAATTAAAGTTGATCTGAAGAGTTTATAATCTGCTAGCGCCCTCTAGTGAAATATTGACAAAGAGCAAAGAGTTTGATAAAGCAGAGAAAGTGCTTCACAAGAGGGACTAGGATAGGAGAAGGTCCCTGGGGGGTGCAAATTCTCAGCTACTCTCAATTACTAGCCTAAAGTTTGGCGGTGTGAACTCACCCAGAGGCTTTGCAGAAGGAAGATCTGGCGATCCGCTTCCGTAAAGATTACAGCCATTGAAAACCCTACGGAGCACAGTTCTACTCTGACACACATGGGGGTTCCATGAGCCGGAGTCGACTTGCTAGCCATGGGTTTTAGGGTGGGAAAGGGAAGTAAACAGTAATGAACACAGACAGATCAGACCCCATCGTGGACACTGAGAAGTCGTCTTCTCCTGGTTGGGGTACAGCCTCGTGGACTTGGGTTAGAGACTATCCTTGAGGTGGGGCAGGGTAACTTCAGCGTGCCCTCTGGCTTGGCGAGGTGGTCAGCAGGGCCTGAAGGGCATCCCATGCTTGGCCTGCCAAGATGTGTGCCTGCAGGCTGGGTACCTCAGTGTCACCGTTTCTAACTGGTGAAGTGTGATGTGGGAGCCAGCACCGGCTTTTTGTTCAGAGAAGATGTGGCTGCATCTTGCTGTGGATTCGCTGCTGGCGCACAGGTACACAGAAGACTGGTTGGGGCTGGCCAACCCCAGGGTCAGGGAGAAGCCCCCCTTCGTCTTCCTGGAGACGCTGTACCCATCAAGGGCGTCTCCCTTCTCAGTACTGTCAACATCATATGAGCATGGATCAGCTGCAGCCCCAAAGCTGGGTCTTGTGGATACCAGAACATTCTGTCTTGTGCATTCCAGCAAAACTCTCTTCTCTGACCTTCTGACTGAGTATCTTGGGGTCTGGATTACTTGAGCACCCATGAGGCCTGTGAGAGGAGGAGAGGGAAGTGAGAAATGAGGCCACCAGGGAGTCTGGTGAGAGGACAGCCTGTGTCCAAGGCAAACATCAGAGGACAGGGGTTTGAGCCAACTCCCAGGACTCACCCACTCCCAGGAAACAAAAGGCCACGCCACAGAGGAGCCCGGCCCCCATGGCGGTGTTGAGGGTGAGTGAGTGCTCCCCAGCCCCAGGATGGGGTAGTTGTCTATGACATCATTGTCCCTGCTCAAGCCCATGTCCCTCAGCCTCCTCCAGATACTAGAGAGTGGAGGCACCTCTTTCCTCACAGGGGAGTCACTGTGAGTGTGTTCACCCATCGTGGTGACTGAGAGAGGGAGAGGTGCTGTTCACAGTGAAAAGCAGGCAGGTAGGCAAAGGCCAGGTCACGGGGCGGGGGGGTGGGGGGAGTCCTGCAGGACTTGTAAACTAACACAGTGGTGAGAAGGAGGCTGAGCTCATGCGAAGGCACCGAAAGGTTTTGAGCCGGATGGTTTGTGGGTGAGGGCTGGGCAAGGTTGCAGGCAGACAGGCCGTCCACCGGGAGGGGGTTAGAGGAATCCAGCTGGGAGGCAAGGTTTGCTCTCAGTAGTGTTCTAGGTGAGAAGTGAGGAATTTAGTCATCAGACGTGTGCAGGGCGTGGCCCTGGGCCAGGCGGGGAGGAGAGCGTCAGGGATGGTGACGATGACCCCGAGCAGCTGGGTGGGCATCTGGGTGTGTGCGGGGTGGGGGTGGGGGGCGAGATCGTTGGCAGGGAGGGGGAGAACAGGAGATATCAGATTAGTCAACAATCCAGAAGGTGCTATTCCACAGCCAGCGGTGGACCTGGGATGAGGGGCGACTGTGGTGAGAGTAACTGGGTGGAAAACGGGGCGTTCGGTCTGGGTGACCACGGCGCTGTGAGAGGAGAGGGGCTGCAGGGGGCGCTGAGCTAGAAAAGGCATCTCCACCTGCACAGACGCCACTCCCTTCGCGCGTCCTGCTTGAAGTCTGACCATCTCCTTGGCGCAGTGGGTGACAAGGCCTGGCCCGCAGGCTGCAGAGCCAGGGATGGGGGTGGGGGTGGGGAGATCTGCGGCGCAGGCCCCCCCGCTGGGGAGCCCCCTGGGGCGGAGCCTTGCTCCTCGGCCCCCTTTGTGCACAGGGAACAGCTGTCCCCGAGGCGCTGTGGCAAAACTGCTGGCGCAGAGGTACAAGGCTGTCTGGTTGGGGACGGCAGACTCCAGGGTCAGCAGAAAGCGCCCCTTCTCCTCTCGGGACACCCGGTACCCGTCAGGGAGATCCCCCCTCTGCACTATCTTCACGTTGATGGAGTAGTGGAGGAGCTGCAGCCCCCGGCCCGGGTCCTGCCTGTACCAGTACATGACTTCGTAATCCAGGTCCTGGGAGCAGGCCACCGTCAGACTGTCCCCGCTCTTGGCGATGCGGTGTCTCGGGGTCTGGCTCACCCCGGGCTCCGCGGGGCCTGGAGGGGACACAGGCCGGAGTCAGGGCCGGGGAGGGCGGACGCCGCAACCCCCAGCCGAGGGTGCCCTGGCCTAAGACTCACCTGTCCCAGGGACTCACCTGGCTGCAGGAGACAGAGGAGCGCGCAGGCGAGCGGCAGGGCGCGCATGGCGGGGTCCCCCGGTCGCCTTCGGGCTCTCGGCATCCGGCTCTGTCAGGTCCGCGTCCCCGCCCCTTCAGCATAGCAGTCAGGAGGGACTTCCCCTCTGCTCGGAGAAGGGCCTACAAGGCGGCACCGCCCCCCAGACCTGGTCCCCTTCCGCGCGTGTCGCGCCATCTCCTCTCGGATTCATCCACGCTCAGGAAAGGGGCAACCCGTCTGTATCGTGACTTTTTTCCACAGAAAAAGGTACACATACCTGATCACCGCTTAGGACAGTGAGCACATGAAATTCCCATGATTACTGATACCGCACTTTCCTGCCCGAGAAGCCCTGTCTCTGCAGAAAGAGTCTCCTTGGTTTGACATCAGTCTGTCGGCTGATAGATTGTCAGCACTGCACCCCTTTCAAGGAGTGTAATGCGTACAAGCTCAATCAAATGCTTGGGTTATCTCACTAGTCCATATCCAGTTCAAGAGGTCCCTGGGTTTGCGCTTGACTGCTAACCTGAAGGTTGGCCGTTCTAACCCACTCAGCAGCACAGTGCAAGAAAGGCCTGGTGATCTGCTTCCACAAAGGTGGCAGCCAAGAAAACCCTGTGGAGCAGTTCTACTCTGATCCACATGGGGTCGCCATGAATGGAAATCAACTCCATGGCAACTGTTTTTCTTTTTTTTTTTTAAAAAAAATTCTTCCTTCAGCTAATGTACTCTCCTCAGACACACAGCTTTGCCCAGCCTGTCCCTTTGACCCTGCTGCTGCCCTGATCTGGCAGAAAATGGGGCTGCTCACCTGAGTCCCCAGTATCCTTGCGTTGGGAGTGGGATGTTCCACCTTCCCACCTATCCTCCTAGAACCTTCCCTCTGAACCCTTCCACCCACGAAGACGGCATTCAGTAGTTTGGACAGGCTCATGTGTCCAAGCAAAGGGACTAGGATGAAGACCGAGCTTCTGAAAGGCCAGTTGCTGGGACGTCTCCCATGTTGCTTTGCATTTTATCACAGGGTGTTTCACCCTGCACTGTCCCATCTGCACCCTCTTTCCCTGGGCTCCTTCAGTGTTTGCTCCCAGCCTCATCCTTTGAGGCACTGCTCAGAGAACTTGCAGCCTCTCTCTTCCACCCATGCTGGCCGCAGGATCTAGACAAAATACTTACGCCTGCATCCACCCAGCAGAGGAACCCTTCCTTAAACATCCTTGCAGGAGAGCACGTGTTCCTTTCCTCTAAAAACAACAATTTCTGTTCTCTGGGTGAGCACAGATACAGACTGTAGAACTTCCCCCATTCTCTGAATTCTGCTTTCTTTATTCCAGGCCACACCTGGTCTGGGAAGTCCCTCTGTGCTCTGCATCTTCCTACACTCAAGATTAACCTCTGAAAGCCAGCACTTTGAGGGATTTGTACATTCAACTTTCTTTTAATTGATGATACAGAATTCAATTTCATTGAAATTTTTCTGAAATTTTATGTTTATATTAAGGAATATGAGGAACCCTGGTGGTGCAGTGGTTACACGCTTGGCTGCTAACCGAAAGGTCATCAGTTCAAACCCAACAGCTGCTCCGTGGGAGAAAGATACTGCAGTCTGCTTCTGTAAAAATTAAACCAAAAAACCAAACCCAATGCTGTAGAGTTGATTCCGACTCATAGCGACCTGATAGGACAGTGTAGAACTGCCCCATAGGGTTTCTAAGGCTGTAATCTTTGTGAAAGCCCACTGTCATATCTTTCTCCCTGAGAGAGGTTAGTGGGTTTGAACTGCCGACCTTTTGGTTAGCAGCTGAGCACTTTAACCACTGCGCCACCAGGGTTCCTTTCCGTAAAGATTACAACCTTGGAAACCCTCTGGGGCAGTTCAACTCTGTCTCTTAGGGTCTCTGTGAGTCAGACTCTGTAGGTTTGTTTTTTGTTAAGGAATATGCTGGTGCCCTGTAGTGGAATGTCCCCATCGTCCCAGAATTTGTTGCTGGTTGCCCTCGAATAGATTGATTCAGACCCCACGTGTGTCAGAGTACAGCTGTGCTTCCTAGGGTTTTCAATGGCTGATTTTTCGCAAATAAATCACCATGTCTTTCTTCTGAGGAGCGTCTGAGGACTCAAACCTTCAAACTTTCAGTTAGCAACTGAGCACATTAACCATTTGTACCACCAGGGACTCTGGTCAGCCCAGTAACGGCCTCCAAAGATGGCCAAGTCCGAATCCCAGAAACCCGTGACAATGTTAGGTCACATGACAAAGGACTAATTGCTGGCCTTGAGACGGAGAGATTCTTTCAGATTACCTAAGTGGGTCCAGTCTAATCACACAAGCTCCTGAAGTCAAAGAGGCTTTCCAAGCTGTGGTCAGAGGGAGCTGGGACTATGCAAGAAGCGTTGGAGTGATGTGACCTTGCTGGCTTTGAAGACAGAGGAAGGGTCTATGAGACAGGGAAACAGATTCTTCCTTAGAGCTTTCAGAAGAAACTCAGCCCGGCCAATACCTCGATGGTAGCCCAGTGCGACCCACGTTGGACTTCCGACCTGTAGAACCGTAAGATCATACATTTGTGTTGTTGTAAGTCATTAAGTAATTTGTTATGGCAGTAATCGGAAACTAATACAATCAACCAGACCAAAAACCTGTGTAAGGTGGAAAAGGTGTAAGAAAGGGCTTGAAACGGGAAAGCAAGGGAAAGGATGATACCTGAGGGCAGGTGGGCCTCGGTGTGTGTGTGTGTAGGGAGAGGGGGTTCTCTTTCCTCTGTTTCTTTACTTGACAGCAGAATTCAACTCCATGCACCTGTATCTAAAAACTGAAGTTTGTCTTGGAAAAAGTTCTCAATGTGTCAATGTCCTTAAGTCTAGTGGGATAGCAGCCAGGGACAAAGACTTCGATCCCAATAAGAGAGTGTCCTGGAGGGATGGAGTGGGAAAGGGCATAGGAACACTAACTAGGTCAGAGCACGGCTTCTGTATATCTTGCAAGGAGGCTCCATCTCCTTGTTGGGGCGAAAGCTCTCGAGGGCAGGTCCCCTTGTCCTTGGTCTTCCCTTTTTGTGCAGAGAGGATGTGGCTGTGTGTTGCTGTGCCTTCACTGCTGGCACAGAGGTACACAGCTGTCTGGCTGGGGCTGGTTGATGCCAAGGTCAGGGGGAAATTTTGTGTCTTGTCTCGAGAGACGCTATAGCCCTCAGTGACATCTCCATCTTCAATGCTGCCAGTCCCAGTCGAGTAATAGATCAGTTGAAGTCCATGACCTGGAACTTGCCGATACCAGTACATTACGAGGTGATTCATTTTCTGAGAACACTCTAGGGTCAGCTCCTTTCCTTTTCCTAAGACCCTGTGTCTTGGGAACTGAGTGACCACAGCATCCTCGGCGCCTGTGGGAGACAAAGGTGATCAAACAATGGCCGAGCTTGGAGTGAAGGAGGGGAAAGACTGACGCTACACTCATGAAGACATGTCTTTTACTGAGAGCCCCCGGGAGGCCTGTGACAAGGGCTCCTCACCTGCTCCCAGAAGACAGAGGACTACACAGCAGAGGAGCCTGGAGCCCATGGCGGGTCAGACGAGAAATACTGTCTATACCCTTCCCAGCTACTTCCTGGCCAGAAAGGCCACACCCCCCTCCCTCACTGCTTCAGGAAAGAGTTAAAACGCTCTTTTTAGACTTCACAGAACTTGATCTGTTTGCTTATCCAGGTAACACGACCAGTTATGCTGTTCTATTGAAGAATTAAAAAAACCAAAACAAACCTGTTCCTGTCGAGTCCATTCTGACTCATAGCAACCCTGCAGGACAGAGTAGAACTGTCCCATAGGGTTTCCAAGGAGCGCCTGCTAGATTCAAACTGCTGACCTTTTGGTTAGCTGCCATAACTCTTAACCACTGCCTCTATGAATTTTCCAGTTTCCTTTATATGATCTATCCTTTTTGATTTGATGGTTTTGCATCTCTTGAATTTTTAATAGCCCATTATGGCAAATGCTGGCAGTGCCCAAGGACCCCTGAGTGTTTTCTCTGAGCACGAATCTTGGAACTTTTTCCATTTTATTCCTTTACACCAACTTCCAACACCACTCTCAAAGTACTCTAGCCTCTTTAGCCAGTCGAGTGCCATTCATTTACATGGATGCTATAGAATCTCCACCTGCTTGCCCTATAAGGTTTGTGTCCTTTTGGAGTTGTCCTTTCTCTCTCCTTGGACTGTGATTTCTTAAGGGAGTGTAAAGGTATGGTAGAGGGAGCAGGGAAAAAATACCCCCACACACACACACGAGAAAACCAGGTAGGTGCCTAGGACATGTTCAGAGAGGGTTTAGATCTACCGCAGTATCTTGTCTATAAGAGGGTCTACCAGATGGACTTTGGTATGGACTACTTCTGATCCAGGAGCTTGTAGCAGCTCTCTCTCATAACTGATCTAGTAACTTCTTTGAAAAATGCTTGCCGTGGAGAAAAAAGGCATTTTAGGGAAATTATGGGAAGCTAATCACCTCTGATGCACCAAAGATCAAATATCCTTGATGTGGCTTTCTGTTAACATTATTCCAGGAAGATGTTTTCTCAAGCTCTAGGTCAACTGAGGATGTGGCTGAGCATTGCTGTAGATAAACTTTGAGCAAAGAAGTGCACAGATGTCTGCATGGTGCTAGAAGACTCCAGAGTCAGGAAGAAACCCTCCTCCTTCTCCCTGGAGATGCTGTATTCAACACTACTTGTTCAGTGTTGCTAGTATGAATGAGTGGTGGATCAGCTGTAGCTCCCACCCTGGGTCTTGGTCACACTAGAATATTCTGTCATGATCAAATCCTGCAGACATTCCAGAAAAGCTTCATTTCCTGTTCTTCTCTAGATATCTAGGTTCTGAATTGCTTTAACGTCCAGGGGGCCTGTGGGAGAAGGTTGCAAAAGTTGCAAGCAGGTCTACCAGGAAGCCCAATGTTACATCTATGAAAAAGAATGGTTCCTGTGCTGGAACCTAGAAATCCCAAGACTGGATTTTTCCATGTGCTTCATGATCTTACCCACTACCAGGAGACAGATGAAAGAAGGAATGGGTCTTCTCCCAGCTCTTGCCAGCCCATGGGTTGTTTGCCTGTGATATCACTGTCTCTGCCCACACTCATAATGCATAGCAATTACTCATTAAAGCTTAGCTTCCAAAATCGGTTAGCTAGTAGTACTGCTAAAAACTATTACTGCTACTAGCACCATCATTTACTGAGTCTTATTTTCCTGCTGGGGATTGTGTTAGGCAAGAAACCTCTGGAAGCCGAGTATAATTGACTCCATGTTATAGATTAGAAAACTATCGTCAGCGAGGTTCAGTAACTTGCCAAAACTAGAAACCTTCCAGATGAGTTTAATTCCAAAACCTCTACTTTCAACGGTTCATGATGAATTTTTCAAAAATTTTCTGCATTTTTTCTTTCTTTTTAAATGTGAATATGAACGGCTGAACAGGAGCTATTTTTTTATTATACAAATGCGATTTTATTTTTTAGGTACAAGAAGACAACGATCCATGAGGAAGTTTAAACACTGAATATGGAGGGAATTTGCATAGCTGAAAGGACAATAGATATATAAGAAATAGAAACATTAAAAAAAATTTGCTGTCAAGTCAGTTGCAATTCATGGTGACCCCATGTATTGCAGAGTAGAACCGTGCTCAATACCGTTTTCTTTCTTTCTTTCTTTTTTTTTTTTTGTAGAGCTAAATTTTCAGGCAGGGTTAGGATGTGTCAAGCCCTCACTGTATTCTGGGGTAGGGTGCTTACTGCCCACTGCTTTCTCAGTACCCCAGCCAACCCCACAGGTTAACATCCTGGATTATATTAATGAATTTCCTAACACTAAACTACCCTTACATTTGTGGAACAGTAAAGGAGGAACAAGTTGCTAGAACATGTTACAATATGGGTGAACCTTAAAAATACTATATAAATTTAAAGAAACCAGAAACAAAAGACTACATGCTATAATATACTGTTTATATGAAATTTCTTGAAAAGCCAAAATGATAGAGATAGACCATAGCTACATGGCTACCTGGAGTGGGTGCAGGGGTAGGAAATGACTGCTAAAGAATGGGATGGATCTGTTGGGGGTTGATGGAAATATTTTAAAACTAGATTGTGGTGGTGGTTATACAACTCAATAAATCACTAAAAGTCATTGAATTGTACCTTTACAATGAGTAATGTCCATTGTAAAGAATCTCAATAAAACCTAGTTATCCAGTGCTCCTATAAGAAAAATACCACAAGTGAATGGCTTTAACAAACAGTTTATTCTCTCACAGTTTAGGAGTTAGAAGTCCAAATTCAGGGTGCCAGCTCTGTGGGATGAGGCTTTCTCTCTCTGACAGCTCTGGTGGAAGGTCCTTGTCATCAATCATCATCTCTTGGTCTAGGCAGTTCTCAGTGCGGAGACTCCAGGTCCAAAGGATGTGCTCTGCTCCTGCCGCTACTTTCTTGGTGGTATGACGTTCTTTTGCTCTCTGCTCAGATTCTCTCTTTAATATCTCAGAAGAGATTAACTCAACATACATCCTAATCCTATGGAATGAGTCCTACCTCATTAACATAACTGCCTCTAATCCTGCCTCATTTACATCATAGAGGTTAGAATTTACAACACATAGGAAAATCACATTAGATCACAAAATGGTGGACAACTACACAACACTGGGAATCATGGCCTAGTCAAGTTGACACACATTTTTGGAGGACACAATTAAATCCATAACACCATGAAAAGTGAGCAATAGCTGATATTGTGTTAATAAAGCAAGATTTAGTTTTGCTCATATATAAGTGGTACCTGTTCAATTGAACATGTCACTTATCTCTTCATGCTGAGTCCCACAGTCCCCCCAACATTCTGTCCAGGGAGTATTCACCATCACCTGCACGAGGGTCAACATGAGCTCTCTCCTCCCTCAGTGTGTGGAGGAGTTCACTGCCTCAGCATCCACATCCCATCCAGTGGTACTCAGCAGGAATGATACCATCTGTGCCTGGAGACTTAGCTTTGCTTTGTTCCTGTCTGATTTATACTCAAAATGCCCCCAGGAAAATTATAAGCCCAAAGGGAGTATACCTTGGAAAAAAGGGGAAGCCTCCCATGCCACCATTTGGAGAACAGGACAGAACTGAACCAGCTCAAGACTCCTTGTGTGAGGACAGCAGTTAGTAAGACTCTACATCAGGAGTCAGCCCTGAAAACAAGATGTGTAGACCCAGAAGGTAGACGTTCTGCACATGCAAAGACCCAGATGAGTAAGACAGAGTGGACTTCTTAGAAAATTATTACAAGTTCACTATTGCTGGAGGGAAAAGGGCAGGGAGGAGGGAGTTGTCGATCAGACTAGAGTTCAGGAGTCCAGATCATGAATACATTTTGTGCCAGGTTAAGAAATTTAAACTTTATGTTGGATGTAAAGAAGCATTGAAGAATTGTGAGGGGATCAGTAGTATGGTCAGCTTTGTGTGTTATGTATATCTACGTATATCACTTTAGCGACAATGGAGAAATAACAACGGAAGGGGTAAGGGTTGAGTCCAAGAGGCAAGTGAGGGGGGTTCTTTAATCTTCCAGGCATGTGGTGAGGATACCCAACACCAGGAGATGAGGATGGTAGGGGGTGGATCATAGAAGTATTCAATATGTAGGGTGGAGCATTTGAATCCCTATTCGATGGGAAGAGTAAGGAAAGGGAAGATCCTTGAGAGACTTCCAGGATGGTGGTGCCTCCAAAACAGGAACAGGTTTTGGGGAGAGTGATGAACTCTCTTGGAGAGAATTTGAGTGGAGGAGCCTATGAAATACAGAGGTGGAAATATTCAGTTGGCAGTTTAATGAACTGATTTGGGATTAATGAGAAATGTCACTCAAATAATGGGTTGAATGATATTATCTTAGATGCATGTGTAGATTCGCTAACCAAAAGGTCGGCAGTTCGAATCCACCAGCCGCTCCTTGGATGTCCTATGGGGCAGTTCTACTCTGCTCTACAGGGTCACTATGAGTCAGAATCTACTAGATGGCAATGGGTTTGGTTTTTTGATGTGTAGATTGAGAACAAATAACCCAAAAATCAGGAAGAAATAACTTTAAAAGAAGAGAAGTGGAGAATGAGCCTCTCTTACAATGAAGTAGCTATCATGTTCTATGGGGTTTCTAACATATGAGCCACCTTGGTAAGGATACAAAGCCCAACACAAACTCTGACAGGCTTTACTGTCTGACAGCCCTGAAGCAGAGGTTTCATGTCTGCATCCTGCATCCACCCATTCTTGGGAGCCACGGGGCCCAGAGCACACAGCCCACACTTTTGTCCATTGCCTGTGCAAAGAAGATTCTTCACAATCCAGGTCTAGACTCATGCGGATGGGGAGCAGCCCCTCCAAGGTTCAACAATTCCAGGTGAGAAGGAGCATCCATCTGTGGACAGCCTCCCCATGGATAGGGCAACCTTCAGAGAGATCCAGGGTTGAACGCAGCCAGGCTGTTTGAGGGTGTCTTAGTTCTTAGTGCTGCCTTAAGAGAAATACCAAAAGTGGGGGGCTTTAATGAACATAAATTTATTTTCTTACAATTTAGGAGGCCAGGAGTCTGAATTAAAGGTGCCAGCTCTAGGGGAAGGCTCTCTCTGTCCACTCAAGGAGGAAATCCTTGTCTCATCTTCTCTAGCATCCTTGTTGGCGTTCCTTGGAGTTCTCCACGTGGCATCTATTTTTCTCCTATTCATGCT